CCAAGTGAGGGGTGGTGAGTCCAAGGTCATCACAGTGCAGTATTCGCTGTCTTAGGAGGAATATCCAAAACTTGGGGGAAAAGCTCCTTAAAAGTCCCTGCAGTGCCACATGGAGGCATGTCCAGCCAGCGCACCTGAAGGTCACATAGTTCTCCAAGAGCGTCCTGTGCTCAAATTGCTTTCCCGGCTTTATCAGCCAAGGCATGAAGTTTTCGGTCAGACAGTAGGTTTCTGTCCAGGTGTCCCAAAGGTCATGGCTTAATGGCCCTCGGGACATTAACCCACCTAGAAACTACTAGCAAATCCAATTCAGCGGGTCTGTGATTATATAACTCTCCGATCCCTGGCTTGTCCTTTAAACCAGCTTTACCACCTTACTGCCTCCTTCCTTGTACTGGTGAGTTTCGTACAGGAATAAAGTTTCACACGTTCACTCTAACTTGTTGAAGACCTAGTTTGACAGCTGTCACTACTTTGTTCATTCGGTCATTTCTCTGCACAGCGTCACTAAGAAAAACTGCTTCCTCCTCTGGTCTCCCCTCTACATTCAAAATGCACATTTCTTTTCTTCTGTCTTCTCTTACGTGCCAGTTTCACGTTCTTCTACACATTCACGGGCCATGTTTACCCACAATGACTTCTTGTCTGACCTTCCATGTTTGCTGTGCATTACCGCTGTTGTGTTCAAACTAGAAGTCACAAAAACTTCTTTCTCTTGAAAAATCAGAAGGGGGTTGGTAACTCTATCCTCAGGTAGGATGACAAGAGCTACTCCTCCGTTCAGCCTGGACTCCACCACTGCCAGCTGTCCACCACCTGCCTGTCCCTGTCCTGTGGAATTTAAGCTTCAAGCCCTTGCCTGCAGTCTCTGAGTTCTCGCAAGTCACCTCTCGGAAGGCCTCTGCCCGCCACCCACCCACCTGCATTTTTCTCCTAACAGGCACTGACACCTCAAGGGTGTCGTGTGTATGGATGAGGTATGCACACACACTCAATTTGGGGAAAAAACTTTTACACACTGATCAAAATGGTGGCACACTTATGAGGCATGCGAACACCCCAGTGAAAGCTGACACCGCTGTGCTATCACATAAACTGACGGGTAACAAATGGTCTGCTCTTAGCATCGCGGAGGGATAGTACTTTTCTACCAGCACAGGAAGCTGAGCTCCGAGCAAGGGACGCTCATTAAATATTCCCTGCTGTTCTATGAGAGCACAGAGAAGGCATGCAGATTACTAATTTCATCTTTCAAGTGTTTACCCTGGCTGCAAATCTAAACACACCTAAAGGACTCAGTCACCCAAGAGCTTTACACAGCCACCCAGCACTGGCACAAAGAGGTAAGCAAGTGTGAAAATCCAAATAGCAGGCATAATTGTCCTGCAGATTACCTTGCTTAAAAGTAAGAGGATCAGAAACAGGGAACAACTGCAAGGTGACCAAGAGACGGGGTAGGGCAGGGGAGGGATGAGGAAGCAAAAAGCACTCCCATGGGTTCTGGGCCTGGGCCAACTCCCCACAACAGTGTAATCATGATCTACTGCAAATATGTGCAAATAAAACAGTTACCTGGCTTAAGTGGGCAAAAGCAAGTTTCCTCTATAATTACTCAGCAAAAAAGCAACGCAAACTTGTTTGCCCGTTCCTAGCATGAAGCCAAACTGCAATTTCCTCTTCCTGCTTCTGACCCCCTTTGTCTGACTGCAGGGCTGAGCACAGAGCCCCTGCCCAGTACAGTGCGGAGGTGGGCAGATCGACCCCTGCGCTCACAGATCCCCACTCAAGCACCTGAGAGGCCAAAGCACACGTCTGGTCCAGCCGCCCAGAACCTGAGGCAGCAGGTCTGAGGTACAGACCAGGAAACTGGGTTTTCCCACGTGCAGACATTGCCTCCTCCGTGCCAAGAGCCTGGCCGGTGTGGGTGCTAGAGGGTGCCTCACTCCTTCAATAATGGCCCGTGCCAGTGTGGACAAATGTAAGGCAGAGTGCCATGCACGGAGACACCGCAATGAGTAACACGCGTTCCTGAGCCTGGACCCGTGTCCACGAGCCAATTAACACAGCATGGAATGCGCATGCACAAGTATGCATCGGTGCCAACTCCCTCCGCAGTCCCACAGGCTTTGTGACGGCTCAGCATGACGCTGCATTTTCTCCAGACTTAGCTCGAGGGCTGGCTCCTTCCTGCCCTTCTACCTCCGAGTCTCCAGGGCCAGCTGAATGAGATGCTGGGCTGCAGAGAGCCACATTCCCTGGCCTTCTGCAACGGGGCCATGCTGTGAGGAGCACGCGTTAGATGCTAGCTGCTCACTTAGGAAATGAGTCTCTTACTGGTATAAGACCGGGCCACAGGCTTGCCAGAATCTGCTTCCTGGCTTTTGCAAAAACATGCCAAGCCCTTCCTCTTGGGGTACCAGGCACTATGCTTCACTGATCACCCTCTAGCCCTGTGATGACAGAGATTTGGTAACTCCTTCTGGCTGTGGTCTTTTTTGAGACAGTTTCACTGTGTAGTTCGGGCTGGCTTCAAACTCAAGTCATTCTCCTGCCTCAGCCCCTGAAGTGCTGGAATCACAGGTGTGCATCATTGTACCTGGCTGTTGTCTGTGTTTCACATACCCCATCTGGTTCCTGTATGTTTGATTTTAGAATGGACTTGTTAGGGCTTAACCCATCCTCTAGCTCAGCCACTTCGTTGGCAATTTACTTAAACTTTTAAGAAAGGGAAAACAAATCCAGAAAACTTGCAAAAAAAAAGTTTCTTAAAATTTAAATTGTCCAGCCAGGGACATAGCTCAGCAGCACAAGCACCTGCCTGGCAAACTCAGAGTTTGATCCCTGGTCTGGGATGGGGGTGGGGGAGTTAAGGGGTAAAAGGTTACATGGCCAGGCACCTCAGTAAGTCTGTAATGCAGATCACTGCTGGTAACCTGGAAGATAGTTCTAGAATGTTCCTAGATGACACAGAAAAGAGCAAGCCTAACATCAACAAGAGTAGATATGTGTGTACGGAAAAATGTCTAGGACAAAGCATGCTTTCGGAGTATTTTTAAATGAGCCTAAATTTAAATTTCAAAAAGTAAAAGAGAGCTGGGCATATTGGTGTTCACCAGTAGTCCCAGCACTCCAGAGGCTGAAGTAGGAGGATCATTCTTAGCTTGGGCTATAGACTAACACTCTTGTCTCATTTTTTTTGAAAAGGTAAAAACAAAAGAGGGTGAAACTCTTCTAGGCTATTAAAAAGCAGCATAAGTGAGCCGGGGAGATAGCTCAGCAAGGTCCTGAGTTCAATCTCTCGTACTGAAAAAAAAAAAAGAAAGAAAAAAAAATTAGAGTAGTGGTTTCTTTGGAATAGGAACAAGGGATAGGGAATGGTTAGGGGACTGGCAATGTTTTTGCTCCAGCCAGCTGCAGTTGTCCACTTTGGGAAAAGGTATCAAGTTATATTATGATAGGTGCACTTTATGCTTAGTATACTTAATAAAAATAGTATACTTAATAAAAAGTTGCAGTTTTTCGAGACAAGGTCTCCCTACGTAGTGAAGGCTATCTTTGAGCTCACTGTAGCCCAGGCTGGGCTTGAGCTTCAGGCAATCCTCCTGCCTCAGCCTCCCAAGTAGTGGGATTACAGGCATGCACCACCACACCCATTTTCAAAGCAAGTGTACTGAACAGATAAACATTGGAATGTTTAGATTTAAGAGGAAATCCTGTCATACACTACAACACAGATAGCACTTGTAGACCTTAGGATCAGTGAAAGCAGCAGTCACAAAATGGCAAATCCTAAGTAATCCCTCTATCCAAGCAATCTAAAGTGGGAAAATGCGTAGGACAGAAAATAGGATGGTCACCAGAAGCTGAGGCCAGGAGGCAACAGAGAAACTCTACAGACAAGGAGTTTGAGATTTGCACAGCAGACTTCAGAGATCTGTTTCACAACGATGTGGGGCCACTGAAAACTGCTGAACCCTAACAATGGCTGTGTAAATTTTATTATGTGATTTTCACAATAAGTCAATGTAGCTAAAACAAAAAATGGTAAATAAACATTAGTACATGGGTTTAAGGAGAATCCAGAAAATGGGGAAAAAAACCAGCGGGGGCCACACCTACTATGGCCCTGATGGGCCCACCGACCGAGCTGACCTTGCCTCTGACCTCTATCCTTCCCATCCTCCCTACCCCAGGTCCAGGAGATTCACCTCTCCACCCCCAGGATGGTCTCCCCAGCGGCTCTCCCAGCAAGAATGTGGGGTCCCCATTCAGACAGTTCGGCCAAACTCCACCAAATGTCACCTCAAGCCAGGGGCTGACTTCCGGTCCTCTCAGTCCTTCAGCATAGGAGGCCTTGGAGTCGCACCCTAAGTCTCTGAAAGCCACAGATGTGTTTAACAATGGCAGCAATTGGGTAAGGCACTTTGGGTATTGTGGGTTTTCGTGTTTTGTGACAGGCTAATACTATATAGCCCGTGCTGGCCTCAAACTGGAACTTGAAATGATCCTCCTGCCTCCTAAGTGCTGGGATTACAGGCAGGCGTCCAGCGAAGCACTTTCCTCGAGTTTCACTTTTCCAACCTACAAGAGTCGTGAAGGAGGCTGCACACCAACGATGGTACCCCGCGCTTTGACGTCAAATTGTCCCGGCTTATACCCCAGCTCTAGGACTGCCTGCCTGTTTGATTTCGGGCAAGTTTCCTCGCCCATGTGTGCCTCAGTTTCTTCCTCTGTGAAACAGGGATATCACGGTGGCGCCATCTCAGAGTACGGCTGAAGATCGACCCAGGCTGGCCCGGGCGAGGAGCGCGGAAACGGCCCCCCCGCGTTGCCTAGGCCCTGGGCGGAGGGCGCCCCCGCTAGGCCGGAGAGGACTCGAGCAGCCCTCGGGGCTGGGGTCGGGGACGGCAGGCTCGGGGTGCGCGCGACACCCAGCCGGACGGGGTCCCCGGCCCGCGAGCGTCTGCCGGCCCTCCGGGAGCCTCCGCGTCCACTCCTACCTCCCTCCCCTCGCCGCCTCCGCGACTCCGGGGTCCCTGGCGGACACCCGCTGTGGGCGTTCCCGCCGGACGCGGTCGGTCCCACGACGTCCACCAGGGCTCCTAAGCTGAGGAAGTGGGCACTTTCGCTGCCTGCAGTCGTAACTGACCAGAAGCGGTGACCCGTTCGGCCGAGGACCACCCGACTTCCCGACACTGCACAGCGCATGCGCGCACGAGGGCTTCTGGGAGCTCGGGGCAGACGGCGGCGGAGCAGAACGGAGCCCGCGCGCCCCCACCCGGCGGGCGAGAATGACCGCGGTGGGCGGGGCGGGCGGTGGGCGGGGCGGGCGGTGGGCGGGGCGGGCGGTGTTGACCCCGGGCCTCTCTCTACTGATGGATTTTTTAAATTTTAAATATTAAATAAAATAGGGCCGGGGAGATAGCTCAGTAGAATAAGCGCTTGCAAGGCCTGAGTTCAATCCCCGGTTCGGCCAAAAGAGAAAAATTAAATAAAATAGTCCCAAACCTGGAGTAATGGCACGCGCCTGTCATCCCAGTACTGCCACAGCCTGAGGACCGCAAGTTTGAAATCAGCCTGGTTAATGTAGCCACTTAGCGGTACCCTGAAATACAAACCATTTAAAAAGGCCCGGGGAGAGCTCAGCCTGTCGGGCTGGGGCCAATCCTTCTTACAGGAAAGAAGTCACCCAAAACATGCGCTGTGGCGTGTTTGCCAATTCCGGCTTTTCTTCCTGTGTGCAGCGCTTTCCCTCTCTCCCCACTACGCGCACCGTCCGCACTCACGTGGCCTGGGCCCCATGCATGCAGGCCGCTTTGGACAGTCTGGGTTTCTAAAATACGCCTTTTTTTTCTTTTCCCTTTTTAAAAGTCTTTAGTACAGGGTCTACAGGGTCTCACTTCGTAGATCGGACTCAGTGATTCTCCTGTTTTCAGCCTCCCACACACTGGGATTTCAGGGGCACGCCACCACGCCCAGTCTCCATTGCTGTCTCAGCGCACCCCAGGGCCGGGCCGGCACAGCAGGCTGGGGATCGAACCCCCTGCCCCTGAGTCTACCTAAGCAGGCACTTTAATCCACTGAGCTATCTGGCCAGCCCTTAAAATAGGCTTTCTAGAGCAGTTTGAGCTTGTAGTCAGGAAACAATCCTGCATCACCCAGAGCCCTCATCGCCCCACCCACCCCTACCTCACTCATTTCCCACCAGAGCCTTCTGAGCCCCCCCCCACACCCTATACCCCACATCCCCAGACTCTCCTCACCCCCCCCCACCCCCACCCCATGAGTGGGCGCCTTCCTCGCATTTCTTTGCTGGATCGCAGACAGTGCTTCGCTCCTCCGGGAACCCAGCCTAGCTGAAAAGAGTAGAAACAAGGAAAGGTCGTTTTCTTAACTGTCAGTAAAAAAAACAGTCCTAATAGACTGTGCTGTACTCTGACTAGCTATTCTATTGTTACATATTTCTTTTTAAATACTATGTTGAATAGGATTACAGTGAACTTCATGCTCAGTGCAAGGATTTTTTGTTTTTGAAACATGCTCTTGTTATACAATCTAAGCTGTCACTGGCCCTGGTGTGCAGCTCAAGCTGGCCTCAAATTCAGGGATCCTCCTGCCTCAGCCTCGCGGGTACTGAGATTACAGGTGTCTGCCATGCACCTGGCCACGCACCCGGCCACGCACCTGGTCTCAGTGCTCGCGCTGTGGCTCCCTGCCTGATCCTAGTGCTCATCTGGAGTGCTGGCCCATGTGTACCCCCACTTGTAATGAAGATCGTGGAGGGGTTTTTTAAACACCAAAATCACATTGTGGGGTCAATGGCTGCGCTCAGCCAGCCCAGGGCTCTCACCTGTCCTCGGCGTCCGCCGCTGCCTCCCGCAAGGCTTGTCCTAAGCTCTGTGCTTTCAGGGCCTTCTGCCACTGAGCTTCTCTGGCCCTCACACATGTGACCACGATGTGGCCTTTTATTCGGACCAGGGCTTACTGCAAGCTAGAGCCCTGAGTTCCCACCCTGTCCCGGGAAATGTTCAAGTGCTCTTGAAAACTATGTGTTTATTTGGCCAAATGCAGAAAGAAAATAGAAGTGGAACCAAAGCTTTTAAAAAGCAGATAGGGTCTGGTGAGATAGTTCCACAGACTAAGCGCCTGCTTTGGCAAGCGCAGGGCCGAGGGCCCAGAATTCAATCCCCTGTCCCGCATGCCCTGCTGGCCCTGCCTCTAGGAGCACACTGAGCCAATGACAGAGTTCGGGCGTGGTGGTGCACGTCTCTAATCCCAGCGCTGGGGAGGCTGAAAACAGGAGGATCACTGAGTCTGATCTGCATAATGAGACACTGTACCAAATACACAAAGGAAAATAAATAAATTGGGGCTGAGGAGATAGCTCAGTAGAATAAGATCTTGCCTGGCAAGTGCAAGGGCCTGAGTTCAATCCCTGGTTCCGCGAAAAGAAAAGAAATACATACATACATACATACATACATACATAAAAAGGAGACAGTCCGGTAGCTGAATACAAAGTCAACACTCCAAAATCAATAGCCTTTCTGTACACAACAAACTCACTGAGACAAATTAGGGAAACAATACCTTTCACACTAGCATCCAAAAAAATGAAATAAAATCTAGGAATCAATCTAAAGAAGGAAGTAAAAGAGCTTTACACTGAGAACAATCGTGCTCTTTGAAAGGAGACTGAAGAGACTAGCAGAAAATGGAAGGATCTCGATTGCTCTTGGGTAGGACAAACCAACGTAGTGCAAATGGCCACGCTTCCAAAGTCGTTACACAGACTTAATGCAGCCTCGATCAAAATAACGAGAGCACCTCTCCCAGAATTAGAGAAAACAATCCTAAAATTTATTTGGAACCAGGAGAGACCATGAGTAGCAAAAGCAGTTCTGGGCAACGCAGGCAAGACAGGGGCATCACAATCCCAGACTTGGAATATACTACAAAGTGACTGTCATCAAAACAGCATGGTCCTGGCAAGAAACAGTTCTGAGCATCAGTGGGACAGATTAGAAGATGCAGAAACAACTCCAAGTACACTCAGCCTCCTTACCTTTGACAAAGGGCCAAACACCTACATTGGAAGAATGATAGCCTCTTTAACAAATGGTGCTGACAAAATTGGCTTTGCGCACGCTGAAGATTAGAACTAGACCCATATCTCTCACCATGCATAAACTAAAATTGATATAGATAGAAGATCTAAATATTAAAAAGAGAAACACTAAATCTGCTGGAAGATAGAATGGGTAGACCCTTGAAGATATTGGTGTAGGCCAAGACCTTGTGGACAAAACCCCAATCCCACAGGAAATACCACAAAGAACCAACAACTGGGATCTCAGTTTATCAAAACGCTGTTGCAGCCAGGCATGGGGGCGCGCTCCTGTAATCCCAGCTCCTGGGAGGCCGTAAACAGGTGGATCAATACGAGTCTGATCTAGTAGTGAGACCCTGAATACCCTGCACACCCCTAAAATACCAAAAATAAAATAAAATAAAAATAAAGTAAGGAAGGGAGGGAGGGGCTGCAGGTATTGCTTACAGGTACAAATTCCCTTTGAGCTTGCCAGGCAAGCGCTTATTCTTCTGCCATCTTCCTGGCCCCAAATTCCCCATAATGAATGTGACCATTATGTGTCTCTAACTGTACCAAAAATAAATAAATAAATAAATAAAAAATCACAATAAATAGTGAAAGCTTAGCAGGGTGTGCTGGTGCTATAGGGATGTGAAATTCCCAACCTGGCCTGAATGAGTTCGTGTTCTCTAAAACCGAAGAATGGATTTTAGGAACAAACGGAGGTTGAGGGTAAAACTTTATTGGAAAGGAAAGGAAAGCTTCTGTCGGAGAGGGACAGAAGGGGGTCCCAAGCGGGTTGCCCAGGAAGCTGTCTCCTTCAGGTTATTTTTATAGGACAAAACCATGTGGGGCTAAGGTAGAGACAAAGGGGTCCCGCTTAGGCGGATACAGGGTGGGACAAAACTATGGTCAGCCAATGGGATTACAAGCACCATTGCTCAGGTAAAATTTATCAGGGCTAGGACCAAATGGGGTAGCGAGTCACGTAGCAAGCGGGCATGAATGTAAATCGGGACCTTATCTGGTGGCCTTCAGTCGATGATTCTTCCCGACTAACGAGCAATCCTGGCTGTCAACTTTAGGGAGGTCAGCATTTGTTTGATCTTTAGGTCTGGCTCACACCAGGAGCATCTCCCCAGTAAGGTGTCTGGTCTTTGTCACCCCCTTCGAGGGCCTGTCCCTATCTAACTACCTACAATATTTCTAACTCAGGCTGCCTGCAACACTGGCACATACCTAGAATGCCAGCACTCAGGAGGCTGAGGCAGAGAAGATCGCCTCTGGTTTCAGGCCAACCTGGGCTACATAGTCAGTTTAAAACCAGCCTGAATTACATAGAGAGACTATGTAAATTATACATCATGAAAAAAATAATAACACACAAGGACAATAATAAAATTAAGAGGTATCTACACCATATCGTGGTCATAGGCTTTGCTGGGCACCCTCCACTTAATCATTTCGCTTATTCTCCACCATCCCTTGATAGAGTGCAAACTCACCAGTGAGCAGGCCTTCTCTTCTGGCCAGAGAGGGGCGCTCAAGCCTGAACTCACAGGCGCGCAGAGGGGTGGCCAGCGGGTTCCACACAGCCCCGCCCCAGTCCTGCGCTGGCCTCCTTAGCTGCCTACTCGGTGCCCGGGTCGCCACTCCTGGACCTCTGCTCTCTCAATGCCTGAGGCCGGTCGCCTCCTGGGCAGGACGGCCCCCAGGTGAAATTGCGTCACTCAGCACTGTACATGGCATGTGGGAGACGTGGAAGAAATACATCTTTGTAGTGACTTCACTAGTCACGGGACAAACAGCTAACACCTGCAGCTTGAAGGAGGCAAGGTTTGCTTCGCCTTGCACTGTAGAGGCTTCTGTCTGTGGGTGGTCAGCAGTGTGGTGCAATGGTGCGGGGAGAAAGCTGCTCACATCACGCTGGTCAGGAGGGGAGGGGAAAGCTGGCCCCTCGCCTCCTTGGCGGGTGGGGGGAGGAAGCTGCCCCCTCACGTGGTCAGGAGGCAGAGTGCATCTGCCGGGCAAGGCGGGGAGCTAAGCCTCGCAGGCCACGCTCCAGGATCCCACCTCCTGACCCACACCAGCTGCAGCAACACACAATCCCATGACCTT